TTTAAAATAAAACATACAAAATAACCAATTTCTTTGTGACCATTAGATGTGAAATGTTTATTTTTCCTAAAATATTTCATTTCAAATTAAGAAAAACCGGATTGGGTAGTTGTTTTTTTCAACAAAAATATCCCCCACTGGTTCGTGAGGGGCCTCTTTAAAATAAAACATACAAAATAACCAATTTCTTTGTGACCATTAGATGTGAAATGTGTATTTTTCCTAAAGAAAAACTTGTAACCTAAAACGTTTCTTTTTTAAATACACATGTTCCTGGTTTCAACATAACAGTATAGGATGTTTCAACATATATTTCCAGAACATTATTTTATTATATTAGCTACAAGACAAAGTTTGTTGTTTTATACTGATCACAGATTAATCTTAATGATATTCCCCATTCTTCCTAGATACAAAGCATGTGTTAAATGTTCTATATTTATTACACTAATTTAATCCTAAGATTATCGATGGGCTTAGACCCTATAGATTTTTTAAACAGGGTTTTTCTAAACTATTTATACCCCAAATTGCTTGTAGACCCATTACGTTTTGGTTACAGGGTTTCAAATATAAACCATACAGCTGCGGACTTACAACGCTAGAAACCGGGTTTCGATACCCGTGGTGGACAAAGCACAGATAGCCCTTTGTGTAGCTCTGTGCTTAACTTCAAACAAACAAACACACCACACAGCTTATATTTTTAAATAATATAAGGTTTCCTTTTAAAGTTTACGTAGAAAGTGAGTCATTTCACTCAATTTTACTTTTGGTCAGTTCTTTATATTAAGTATTATAATAGTAAAAAAAAATAAAGTTAATACTGGATAGCAGTGACACTTGCTTAAAATATTTGAAGTATGTATTTATCATTGGTCAGACATGAGTTCAGACATAACAAAAGTAGAACTGTTACGTCTGTTTGTTTAAAAATAGTGCTGGTAAACATTCACTACCAAAATTGTTTGTTTGTAGTTAAGCACAAAGCTACACAATGGGCTATCTGTGCTCTGCCCACCACGGGTATCGAAACCCGGTTTCTAGCGTTGCAAGTCCGCAGACATACCGCTGTGTCGCTATCAAAATATTTTAACTCAATTTTATACGATCCAGAGATTTAAAAAAATGTGATAGTTTTTTAAGATTAAGTAAGATGTGGACAAATATTTCAATATATTGAAATCAAGAAAGTACGTTTAACATTGATTAATTAACCCGAAATGATTATTGTTTGTTCGTAGTTAAGCACAAGGCTACACCATGGGCTATCTGTGCTGCGCCCACCACAGGTATCGAAACCCGTTTTCTAGCGTTATACATCCGAAGACTTACTACTGTTCCACTGGGGAAGGAATTGATTAACTTTGTAAAAATACATCACGTCTTTTCTCCTAAAGAACTCGATATAAATTTGTAAAATGCTTTTAAAAACCGTTAAATATATGACTAAAACAAAAAAAGATCATCATTACTTATTCTGAAAAAGTCTGTTGTAAGCAAAAAGGTTCTATTTGCCCTTAAGAAACTTAACTTTTTGTATTAAAAATTAAGAAACAAAATAAAACATGCTCTTATTTTATAGGACTAAGGAATAGATAAACGCCCTGGTGGAATCAAAATAATCTTAATAATGCAGACTCGATGCGAGGGATTTATTTAAATAATTGAAGAGACCGTACAATCTGTCAGTTGTAATTTAATATTATAGTGGAAGTTTATAAAGTATTAAGCATAAAAAAGAACAATAAGAGAGCTGAACAAAAATGTTCAAAATCTAAAATTAAATTGGATAAATAGTTTTATGTAAATATCTTATTTCTTTTGCTCAGTTTAAAATATTTAAAAAACATACATGAAGATGGTGATATTAAAGTTAATACTTAGCTAAACAAATTTATTGAATTAAAAATTATAAACACATTAAATAGCATCCTCATTACTGCCCCATTACTGTTAACAGTTTGCTTGCAATTAACAAAAATTAATTATGTTTTTTTTTCATGTTTATGTAAATTTGACTTTAAGTTCATTCCACCGATTGCACAATAACTCACTGCTGTCTAGTTGCATAAAATTTGACTACAACATATTTAATCTACTTTCCTTCAACAAGAAAAAAATTATATATATAAAGATTCAGTTTTAAGATTTTAAACAACAC